TAAGAAATAAAAATTAAAAAAATTGTGTATCTTCATTATTTTTTTACTTTATTAACATTTAATTAATATTTAACAATTAATGTGATGGGCCTGCAAATGACTACACATTTTCTCAAATTAAGGCTTTTACAATAATTCACGGCCCCCCTGTAAAAAGGCCGCGGCGCACAGTTTGGGAATCACTGGAGTAAGGAGTAGATAGATTGGCCAGGACAGAAAGAGGAGTGATAGCAAAACCGTTTCGGCAAAACGTTGTTCAAGGGATTGACTTCACATGTCTCTGACGCGTTGTAGCTTGATGCGGAGTATGTTAATACTCAGTGACGATGTTAGGGAAACGTCTGAGAAATCATCAGGTCAATGTACCGGTGATAGAAATCATGATTATTAGTGAAGAGTACTTCAGAGGAGGTGCATCCAACTAAGTTGCCCTAAAAACAACACTACGAATCGAAAACGAGATCAGCCCATTTCTCTACATCGAAAGGGCACTGTGACAATACCAAAGACCACATAATATTGGTCCTCATATAATGTGAATCTATTAGTCATATATATGGATGGTTATTTTGTTGTCTGGCAGTATGACGAAGAGAGTTTGGAAAACTTCCTTAGGCAAAGAAAAATATTAGATATGAAGAGAAGCTGGCTTTCCAAGAGTATTATTTTGAAGATTAGATAGGTCGGCGAAATTCGCCATGGAGTTAGAAAAGGACAGTAAGTTACCCTTTTAGATATCCTGATATTTAAAGCATGAAACAAATTATGTGCATGTAAAACCAACAAATGAGGAGTTCTTCCTTAATTTCTTCTCAATCATACTTATGGTGTTAAGGTAGTAGTAATTAAATCAATGATAGTTAGGAGTTTGTTTCAGGAGAATGTAGATCATCAGGATAAATAGTAAGGAAGGCCAAAAAAATCTTAGTTGAGAACAATTATCCGTTAGGATTAATTGCTAATAATTTTGAAATGGGCTAAGAAAAAAAAGTATTCGGCACAAAGGAGGGTATTAGACAACTTTCACACAAGGTTCGGAAAGCTATCATCCTATGAGTCTTCGAAAAAAGTTAGGCGATTTACTGAAAAAATTTAACATCAGAATTATGTATAGGTAAGTATTAACGCGTTCCTTGGTCATGTATTCCTTTAGAGAAACTTCAGACGCTCTCTGCAGATCAAGTTGTTGTAAGATTTTGGCTCAGGTGGTGTCAATGTGAGGGAGAGCTGTCGACCCATACACAAGAGGTTTATGGATTCGGAGGAAATCAGATATATAATGGTCTCAAACCCAACATTTTGTCGGATAAAAGCATAAGCATAATATCAGGAAGTAGGTTAACAACAACAAAACAAAGAACAACCTAAACAGAAGGAAGTAAAGGAAGCAAGAATTGCTTCTGGTTATTGGATAGAATTAGAGACGGAGAGAGAAAGAAAGTTAACACGAAGAACGACAGTGAAAGGAAACTTGACCAACCTCCTAACTAACTCGTAAGTATTGCATACATACCTATTTACGCAGCTAAAACAAGTCATAGTATTGCAGGATCATACACTAGTTTATGTACACAAGTTAAGCCTGTTACCACATCTTCTCCCCTTCCATCATCAGCTTCACTATTCTACAAGCATATTGGACAATAAGATAGTAGCAAATCAAATCATCGGATTTCAGCCGGCAACTTTTCTTTGTTTCTTTTTTTGTGAGTGCTCTTAAGTGTATGTTTCTGGCTTTGAGGAAAGCTCAGCACAGAGTCATCAGAGTCGCAGGACGATGAGCCGAGGTCTTATTGGCCACATTCAATAGTCACAAGCTCAAGGCAACCCTCATTCGGTATCTAGTGGGGCCGATTTACGAAACGCTTCCCACCACATTTTCAAACAAAATGAAAGCTATGCCAGCATAGGGATAAATACTTCTTCCTCTTGCAAGATGCTTACATTCAGTTCATGTATGGGTAGAAATCAGGATAAAATATGCACGGGAAATGATGTGATCTAATTGATTTACATATACTCACCTTATTAATTCGGATTGGGGCCCGTGAAATACGCAGCGGGCTCTGAAATAGGGTATCTGTTATAGATCTTACTGACCGGCCCCTAGGAGCTGGGGTCTTGGCTCCAGGTCTGGGATGCAATTTTGTAGCTCCAGATATTTTCTTTCCATTCAGTCGT